GATTAGCCTATTGAGCTGCAGCACCGGCCAATAAAACTTTTTTTTTTTTTTTCAAATACATATGTTTAAAAGGCAGAGAGACAAGAGAGAGTACCCGTCTGTTGCTTCATTCCCCCAAATGCTTGCCAAGGCTAAGACTGGGCCCACAGGTGGATCCAGGTCTCCCACATGGGTGGCAGATCAATCCAGGTCTCCTAGCCACTCGAGCCACCACCGCTGCCTCCCAGGGTCTGCATTAGAGTGGGGAGCCAGAACCGGACATAAAACTCAGGTGCTCCAGTATGGGACACAGGAGTGCGCCTTAGCTGCTAGACTAAATGCCTGCCCCTGAAACATTTATTGAATAAAATCAATAAAATGCAAATACAGAAACTCCTTTTACCAATCCAGTGCCTTCAGCTCCATCTGTACTGAAATGGAATTCTAAGCCTATTACTAAAACAATCATTTTTAGTAGGTGGAATGCCAAGATGGGTCATCATCTGCCCACCGACTTTCTCTAAAGCAAAGCTGTTCACTGGCCCTGTTGGAGGTGCTTTGCTAGATCACAGGAGAACTAGAACCCACTTCTAGTTTCCTCTTCAAGAATGCAGCACATGGCCAGCGCCGTGGCTCAATAGGCTAATCCTCTGCCTTGCGGCGCCGGCATACTGGGTTCTAGTCCCGGTCGGGGCACCGGATTCTGTCCCGGTTGCCCTTCTTCCAGGCCAGCTCTCTGCTGTGGCCCAGGAAGGCAGTGGAGGATGGCCCAAGTGCTTGGGCCCTGCACCCGCATGGGAAACCAGGAGAAGCACCTGGCTTCTGGCTTCGGATCAGCGTGGTGCGCCAGCCGCAGCGCGCCGGCCGCGGCGGCCATTGGAGGGTGAACCAACAGCAAAAAGGAAGACCTTTCTCTGTCTCTCTCTCTGTGTCCACTCTGCCTGTAAAAAAAAAAAAAAAATGCAGCACAAGGAATTCAGTGTGAGAAACTTGGGGTGGGAAGCTGTAAAACAGGTGGAAAGTGGCAGAAGACTAATTTCCACATAACCCACAGCAATTCAGTTTCCTGAAATTTGAGGAAACAATTCCTGGGAAGGGTCCAACAATTCTTTATTGCCTACGAGCTTGATCAGAAAACCACTACAGCCAAGAACAGGCAATACTGTAGTTGTACAAATGTGTAGCTTATTTGTGTTAGATTCTAACAGCAGCTATTTAAATTTTTTGCATTTCCATTAGTAACTAAATATTTGCAGCATGCATATATACATACATGTGGCTTCCTACCAAAAATTACCAAGAAGCCAACAGAAATGCCCGAATGATTTCTAATAATTTGAAAGTTATCTATCTGTATCTTTATAAAACTTTGCCACCTATATGACCACATCACATGGCAGTTAAGAGTAATGTGATATATACTTAAAAAAAAAAAAAAAAAGATTTACGAGGCCAGAACTGTGGCATAGTGGGTAAAGCTGCTGCCTACAATGCCAGCATCCCATATGGGTGCTGGTTCGAGTCCTGGCTGCTCTACTTCCAAGCCAGCTCTCCACTATGGCCTGGGAAAGCAGAAGTTTGCCCGAGTCCTTGGGCCCCTGAACTACTGTGGGAGACTCGAAAGAAGCTCTTGGCTCCCAGCTTTGGGTCCACCCAATGAACCAGTGGATGGAAGATCTCTCTCTCTCTCTCTCTCTCGCTCTCGCTCTTGCTATGCCTCTGCCTCTCTGTAACTCTGCCTTTCAAATAAATAAATAAATAAGTCTTTTTAAAAAAGGAGCAGGATCAGAAGTGGAGCAGCCAGGATTCGAAACAGTGCTCATATGGGATGCTGGCTTAACCCACTAAGCCATAAAGCTGGCCCTGATAATCTTTAACTGCACCTTTTCCAAACACCACCTCCATTTGTTTGGTTCAGTAAATGCATATTGTTCCTAATGAAAAAAAAAAAAAAAGACTCACTACTTACTATTTCTTTCTCAAAGCTGTGGTCTTACAAATGAAGTATACAGAATTCCCGTTAACCCAGAAATTTAAAACTCAGTAAAATGTTATAGTATGATAAATGAAAAGTGTTAACTGAAACATAAAAGCACCAATACATGTAACACATGGTTAGTCAAATGTAAACCTGAAAAAGTAATTACAGAGATTTTTGCTAATTACCATGGAAAACTCATGCTAAAACTTATAGCTTGCTCTGACCTGCAGCCTTCAGTGTGTTTGGTTTGGTTTTCCTTGTTTTTGTTTTGAGTTTGAGAGCTTTTAGGAGGTCGTGGGTGTTTTATCACAGACACCCCCCCCCTCCCCGCCCACGACTCCCAACTTTTAGAACAGTGGGCCTCATTTATGTTATTTGCCTGGCCCTAATTAAATTTGCAAACCCTGCAATTTTAAGTGAAGATGTTTAGTGGCTTCTGAATATTCTGGAAAGACTTTGCAAAATACTGCCCTGGATGTGTGCTACTAAGTGATACAAACATCACAAAAGTAAACAATGAAACAGTTTCCTAATGACAACACCAGTTTCTATTTTCAGAGGTTTCCAGGGACTGAAAACTCTTCAGATGTCAACTCTCAATTCTCATCATTTTAGGGAAGCTGACCAGGGCCTGGAGAGAGGTAAAGTAATCTGTCCTAGTAATCTGTCCTAGGCCAGATTGGCGACTGAAAGGCCAAAATGTCCTTTGCTTCCCTCAACCAGACTGATTTGACTGAGGGCTAGGACTAGGGCTTCTGGTCATCCTGAGCCTGCTGCAACATCCTGCCAATGTTCTGCTTGCCGTAGGGATTCAAGTGGTATTGAAATTTGCTCCCATGGGATGAATTCAGCTCTTTTTATAAAACATAGTCAGGACCCAGCTGGAGTTAAGAAAAGACAGATTCCTGCTCAGCAGTCACATGGAATGAACAAGCACAATTTTGGTTTCGTGGAGAGTCTTACAGTGGTGGGGGTCTCACATGGATGAAAGAGCCAAAGGCACCCCAATCACTAAAATTTAACCTTTTTAACAAACACTGGCCTCAATTAAAGTCTTTTCACATAGGAAAAACAGATTCATAATCCAGTTAAAAATGATCGATTAAGTTGGAATACAACATCTGCTCAACTCAACAGATCATCAATTTTTTGATTAAATAAATCCATCCTCATTATACCTTATACTTTGGAATAAAGCTCAGACTAGACTCAATGTTTTCCAGAGTTATTCACAACTGCATTACTTTAGCACTTCTTCCACACTTAGGGAGGTATCAAAAACCATCATTCTGAGGTCTGTGCTGTGGCATAGCAGGTAAAACCACGCCTACCATGCCAGCATCCCATATCGATGCCAGTTTGAGACCCAGCTGTTCCACTTCTGATCCAGCTCTTTCTACAGGCTGGGAAAGCAGTAGAAGATGACCCAAGACCTTGGGCCCCTGCATCCACCTGGGAGACCGGGAAGAAGCTCCTGCTTTGGGTCAGCACAACTCCAGCCATTGGGGCCATCTGGGGAGTAAACCAGCAGATGGAAGACTTCTCTCTCTCTCTCTCTGCCTCAGCCTCTCTGTAACTCTGCCTTTCAAATAAAATAAATATATCTTTAAAAAAAAATCATTCTGCAACAGTCTTCCAAACATAGCCTGCAGTGGGATTCAACATGCCCCTGGATGGCATCCAGTCATCTTGGAAGCCTCCATTCTGATGTCAAGTAGGTTTGCAGAAAACACAGCTGTTCTTCGTTATCGTTATTGTCCATGTGGCTGAGATCTTGTAAGCAGACCAGACTCTCTTCTCTGAGCTGTACCATGTACCTTTCCTCCTCTTTCCATTTTATTTCTTCATTTCTTTTTCATTCTGCCACGCACACGCACATGCACACGCACACACGTAGGCATGCATTCCTTCCCGTAGACAGAACGTACAAAGCTCAAACACATCCCCCTGCTTGTTCTGAGGGAAAGGAGCACCTGGTGCTTGCACTCTGCACGGTCAGGGTGGAGAGAAACTGGTTGGGTTCTGCACCAGGGACAGTGGGGAGTGGAGCTGAAGGAAGAGCAGTTGTATCTGCAATACTGTTTTGGCTTTCACAACAGCCACCCTTTCCACTCAGGAAGGAAACTTGAGCAAAACGAAGTCTGTATTTAAGGTGTTCCCTCTCTCTCGTGGTACAGTGTGTGAACTGGGGACACCGAGAGGTGTGTAAATTGGGATGCTGGAAAGGTTACTGTGGCAGAGGGTTTGCGCACGCACAAGAACACTTGCTGGAATCTATTGTGGACCCACACATGTGCACCCTGAGCATGCAAAGGCATGACCCACAGAGCAGCCTTTCCCGCTGGGGTCAGCAGCCAGGGGACAGACTCCTCCCTTCTGAGGTACATTTGTACAGCTTCCTAGCTCCTGGCTGCTGTCACCGCAGCTGCCCTTGGTGGTAGCCAACTCCGCACCATGTCCCTGCCATTTCTTTCTCTTCTTCCCTGTTTCATTTTCCTTAGCTCCTCTGCCCACCCCCAGCACTGCCGGTTCCTTAGGCCCCCAGGTTCTGCTTGCTGAAGGGATTCCAGGCGAAAACAAGAGATAATCACAGAACAAGAACCCTTTCTCAACATGCAGCGTCTGCCCCTTGTTTCATGCAAAATCTAATGCTTCAAGGATGAGCATGTAGTCTGGTACCTCCCATCCACGCACACGAAATACAAGGAAGATCCCACACAGAACCAGGGCTCATGACATTTCTTGAAGATCACCTTTACAAGCCAGATAGGCAAGTTGAGAAAAAAAAATCAGTGTCAAGTCTCTCTCTATTCTCTTCCAAGTATTTCTTGTAAGAACACAACACCGTCTCCAGATAGGGTACCAGGTGCCTGACAGGATGGAAATGCTGGAACGTGAGTCCAGTGTGAGTCCACTCCACCGCCCAGAACGGGGTAATAGGAGGAAGGCATCTAAGTTGGCAGACTGCTAAGCGGTTCTGGAGCAGAGGTGGGCTAGTCGATTCTAGCTGAGGAAGGCTAGGGCACAACGATTTACTCACACGTCATTGAACTCCTCCAGAGACCTTGCAGGTGTAAAGACGTCCAATAGACCAATCACCTAGAAGAAAACACAAAATTCAAACAGGAAGTAAACACTGGGCTTACTATGGGACTGCTCAGGTCTTAGTCACTTTAAGTGGCACTAATCCAAATCCAGCCACGTCAGCTCCATGATATCACAGCATCGCACACTTAAACAACTCCAACTGATTTTTCCACCCAAATTATGCTTCTAGTTTTTACCTGTTAGTAATACTTCTCATAATAATCTACTTTTCTGCTAAAAAAATCTCATCTCTGGGGCCGGCGCTGTGGCATAGCAGGTAAAGCCACTGCCTGCAGTACTGCTATCCCAATGGGCACCAGTTGGAGTCCTGGCTCCTCCACTTCTGACCCAGCACCCTGTGAATGTGACTGGGAGAGCAGAAAATGGCCCAAGTCCTTGGGCCCCTGCACCCGTGTGGGAGACCCAGAAGAAGCTTCTGGTTCCTGGCTTTGGATCCACCCAGTTCCAGCCATTGCAACCATTTGGGGAGTGAACCAGTAGATGGAAGACCTCCCTCTCCCTCTCTCTGCCTTTGCCTCCCTGTAACTCTGCCTTTCAAATAAATAAATCTTTTTAAAAAAGAAAAGAATTTAAAAAGTTCTCTTCATAGGCCAAAGCAAAGAGCTACTTAGTACTCAGTAATCCATGGTCCTTGAGTAGTTTTTCAGATCACAGATTTATGATAATGTATACACAGAGTATACTTACTCCAGATCCCCTAAGCCCAGACCACTCATTTCCACAGAGCTGGGCATCAAAAAGGAAAAAAAGAAATATTATAATTCACTTGTGACATGCCTAGCCAGACTGAAGGGCATCGGAATAGGAAACAAAAACTACCGTCACAAAAACTGAACCACGACTGGGCCCACGCATGTTACTCTGAACAACCAAATTACCCAGCCCTGAAATGAGATACGTTAGCACTCAAAACACTGCCGTGAAAAAGAACTTCTCGTTAGGATGTCAGTCTGCTCACTCAAATATCAGACTTTTTAAAAAATTATTTATTATTTATTTGAAAGGCAGAGTTATAGAGAGAGGGAAAGATAGAGATCTTCCATCCGCTGGTTCATTCCCCAAACAGCTGCAATGATCAGGACTGGGCCGGGTGCTTCTCCCAGGTCTCTTACATGGGTTCAGGGGCCCAAGCACTTGGGCCATCTTCTGCTGCTTCCCCAGGCACATAAGCAGGGAGCTGGATCAGAAGTGGAGCAGCCAGGAATCAAACCGTGCTCACAAGGTAGGCCGGCACCACAAGCAGCAGCTTAAGCCACTATGAGTGACACCAGCCCCTCACATACTAGACTTTTAAAAACAACTTCGATTATACACTCTGAAGGGAAAGAAGACACCTCCTTGGGATTCAAGAAGAACTCTTCAAGTTCTTGTAAATTGTTACAGAAGAAAGATACAGAATCACCTTTCAGATCCTCATCCAGGCAACTGTATGCAAAATTAGCCATGACTGTACCAGGCATTTGTCATATATTTCCTTTGATTACTCTGATGCACAAAACAGGATTTACACTACACATACAGTTTTAGTTAATATATGACTACTCTGAAGTCCTTACATTTTTTCAATATTTATATATATACCATATACATTATTTGTGTATAAACATAATATAATGCTAATATTTGGTAAATAAGTCTGGTATCTTCTCTGAGCCCCATTTTCCTCAAATATAGGACATGGGGATATCACTGCTTATTCTCACAGTGCTGTGGGGAAGACTAAGGAGACACTGTGTTTGAAGGTGCCTGGCACACGGGACTCACTGAATGTGGCTCACCTAAATAAGCAGTGATCAGAACCAGTGGAGTTCTACAAAGAAATACAGAATACAATACATACAAGCAACCAAAGCAGTCACTTCTAGTGACAGAATTTGAGACATAAAGCAAAACTAGAGTATTCACGTGATTAAAAAAGTATGGCTGCAAGAAACACAGGAAGGAACTTGGAAACAATACAAAGAGCAGACTAGGAAATACTCTATCAAATATAATCTCCTTAAAAAGGGAAATACTTAATGTATTTAACACAAGCACAGCAAAAATAATTTTATGAAACGACCCAAATTATATCAAAGCATTCGTAGGTTTTTGGTATGTGTATGGGGGGGCCGCTTTTACAAAATATCCCTCTTCCATTAATCCTTTTTATGGAGTAGGAATCATAAGAAAAATACCATGAAACAAAACTGAAGAATATTTTTGAATAATCTGTATAAGCTTTTTATTTCTTAAATGGACACTTCTTTTCATTCAAGTCATATTTTAGCTTATTCCCATATGCCTTCTGCCATTATATTATTTCAGTCACCTAAAAGTAACCTGGGAATAAAATATTTAGAAAAGACATTTATAGGGGCTGGACTTGTGGCACAGTGGGTTAAGTCACTGCCTATGACACCAGCATTCCATATCACAGTGCTGGTTCAAGTCCTGGAACTCTGCTAATATGCCTGGGAAAGTAGCAGAAGATACCCCAAATACTTGTGATCCTGCCACTCATGTGGGAGGATCTCTCTGTGATAAGTTGCCTGCTAAATAAATAAATCCTCTATAAAAAATCTTTGAGGCTGGTGTGGCATAGCAGGTAAGGTCTCTCTGTGATGCCAGCATCCCATATGGGCACTGGCTACTCCTCTTCAGAATCAGCTCCCTGCTAATGCTCTGGGAAAAACAGTGGAAGATGGCCCAAGTGTTTGGGCCTCTGCCACCTATGTTAGGGACCCGGATGAAGCTGCTGGCTCCTAACTTCAGTCAGGCCCAGCCCTGGCCATTGTGACTATCTGGGGAGTAAAAACCAGTAGATGGAAGATCTCTCTCTCTCTCTTTCAAATAAATTAAAAAAAAAAAAAAACCACTTTAATTTATAAGATGAATGGGCCGGCACCGTGGCTCACTTGGCTAATCCTCCACCTGTGGTGCCGGCACACCGGGCTCTAGTCCCAGTTGGGGCACCAGATTCTGTCCTGGTTGCTCCTCTTCCAGTCCAGCTCTCTGCTGTGGCCCAGGAAGGCAGTGGAGGATGGCCCAAATTCTTGGGCCCTACACCCACATGGGAGACCAGGAGAAGCACCTGGCTCCTGGCTTTGGATCAGCACAGCACGCCGGCCGTGGTGGCCATCTTGGGGGGGTGAACCAACAGAAAAGGAAGACCTTTCTCTCTGTCTCTAACTCTGCCTGTCAAAAAAAAAAAAAAAAAGATGAATGAACAGCAAAATATCTCTAATGATGGTCCAAAGGGCAACAAATACTGCCCCCAAAATACTTTAACTCAGTAACAAAAGACAATAATGTCTTTAACATAATCATACAAAACAACCAACTGGTCTACTACGTTAAGGTTAAATCTAAGGTTCCTACATGAAATTTATGAAAGGATTCCAATTCTCTCTCTCTCTTTTTTTTTTTTTTTAAGCCAAAGATCTAGGGAGCTGAAAGATAGACTCTGATAATCCTTGGAGCATCCTCTAAGCATTTGTAGGGCCTAAGAATCAATGTACAAGGGAAGACCAGCTCAAAGGAAAACAAAATACAGTATCCTCTTGAAAATTTGAACATAACCTGTGGCAGGCAATTCAGGTCATAGCTGAGATCAAATTTCTTGCCCAGGATCAGTGTATGTAGTTTACTCTGTATGTTAGCTGGAAGCAAAGGAAGGCTTCAAATTTTCAACAATTTCTTGCTGGGATTGAAGCATTGAAGCCTTGACTTCATTGGTACACCAATCAGCCAAATTTCTTCCCATACCATCTTCTATGTGTTTATTTAACTCACTTTCAATACACTTGGAGTAGGATGAAACTCGGAACAAATCCATCAATCAAAACAGTCGACAAAATTTCATCTGTCATTGCACAGAATAGGGTGAAATGCAGGAATTTTCTACGTTGACTCAAAGTCTTTTGGCCCCATCCCATTCCCCTACAAGCATTGATTACCATGAGATATGCAACCATATGCCTGTTTCCTTCAAACAACAAACTGCTAAGTATGATGGACCCTCTACTGCTAAAACCTAAATACCTTTGAAAAAATGTATACACAGAGAGATTTATCCACTTGTTCACTCCTCAAATGACAGGAACAGCCAGGGCTGGGCCAGGCCAAAGCTAGGAGCCTGGAGCTCCATCCAGGTCTCTAATATTTGTGCAGGGGCCCAAGTGCTTGGGCCGCCTTCTGCTGCTTTCCCAGGAACATTAGAGGCAGCTGGATCGGAATCAGAGAAGCCAGGACTTGAACCTGCCTCCAACATGGGATGTTGGCATCACAGGCAGTAGCTTAATTTGCTGTGCCACAGGACGGCCCCAAACTTAAACAGCTTAAGATAAAAAAGATGGACTGCTAGTAAGCAAGCCGCTTATAAAACCACTAATGTAAATAAAAATCCTGTTTTTTTTTTTTTTTTTTTTTTTTTTTTTTTTAATGCTGGTAGTCCTCTTTTTAAAGTCTTGTGGTTTTCTTATATTAGAACAATTATATCCCCCATCCCCTGGTGGCGTCCCTACTTCTGTAAGCACAGAATGGCCCAAATGTAACTAGCCCAGTATCATGGAAGGCATCTCAAAGTACCTCAGACAGAAAAGCAAAGCATAAAAAGTTAAATAGTTGTTTCTTCCGGTTACTAGAAAAGTCAAAGTACGGATCTGGACAACCCAGAATAATTTTTGTCCTAAACACTAGTTTAAACTATCTATAAAAGAAAAGTGAAGCAATAAAGTGTAGCACAGGTCATCTTCTTAAACAAGCACAGACCACATCTTGGGGCATTTGGACGTGTTCGTGTTTTTGGTGTTTCGTTTGCAGTCCTTTTTTGAAATAGTCTTTAAACTTAAAAAAGCCATGACAATATCTGCCACATTTATTAATGTGCAATGAAAAACAGCAACACTCCCAAATGTGTTAAAAACCAAATGTAAACACACCAGTTAAACAGCCAGGCCACTTTGATTTTATGCAGACCCAGAAATAAAGCTTCCCCTGCCAGCTTTTTCCACATATCTCAACTTCTTGTAAACATGTCACTGATTCGGAAGGCTGCAGCTCTGCACTGAACTTTCTAAAAACTCAGGAGGCACAAAGCTACTCATGTAAAATTATACCGTAGGAGTAGAAGTTATCTGTAGAAAACAGGATTTTTTCCAATAGTATTATGCAATCAAGATAAAACATGGAAATGAAAAGCTGCCACTGCCATTTTAATGCCATCCATAATCCAATCACATATTTAAGCCTTAATATTCTCAATTTAGAGGAACTTACACTAATGAAGCAAATGTATACTAATTATCACTTTGTGACTTTTTTCTTCTATGGAGAAAAAAGTTCAATGATTAAAAAAGAAAGTCTGAATAGCCAACTAATAAATTTACAGATTTTGAATTTCCTTCCACAAAGTAACAACGGTAGAGCCAAATGATTTTGAAATCTCCATTGTTTTTAGAAGGCTATAAATTTCCTAGTTCCTTTCATACAGCAGCAATCCAGAACAAAAATTCTTCTTGATTTTAAAAGTCAGAAAAGGGGCAGGTATTAACTCCAGTGATGAAGATACTGGTTGAGACACCTGTGTCCCACACTGGAGTTGGATATTGGGCTCTGGTACCTGAATCCAGCTTCCTGCCAATGCAGACCCTAGGAGGCAGCGGTGTTGGCTCAAGTAATTGGATTTTTGCCACCCATCTGGGAGATCTGGACTGAGTTCCCTGCTCCCAGCTGCACTGTTCTCAAGTTAGCAAACTAGTAGAAAAGAAAAAGCTACACTTAATGTCTCTGTCACATTTATTTTACTTATTTATTTATTTATTTGACAGGCAGAGTTAGACAGTGAGAGAGAGAGAGAGAGAGACAGAGAGAAAGGTCTTCCTTCTGTTGGTTCACTCCCCAAATGGCTGCCATGGCCAGTGTGCTGTGGCCAGTGCACTGTGCTGATCCGAAACCAGGAGCCAGGTGCTTCCTCCTGGCCTCCCATGGGGTGCAGGGCCCAAGCACTTGGGCCATCCTCCACTGCCCTCCCAGGCCACAGCCGAGAGCCGGAGTGGAAGAGGAGATCAACTTGACGGAATCCAGCGCCCCAACCAGGTCTAGAACCCAGGGTGCCGGCGCTTCAGGCAGAGGATTAGCCAAGTGAGCCGCAGGGCCGGCCTCTGTCACATTTATTAAACAAAAGCTGTATCTCAAAGAAGGTTAAAAATAAACATCATAATATTAAAGTACAAAAGTCCCTCAATATTTGTGAGGGATTGGTTCCAGGACCCCTGCAGGCACCAAAAGCTACAGATGCTGAAGTCCCTTATCTAAAATGGTGTGGTATCTTATCACCTAAGCACATATTCCTATATGCATTATATCATCTCTAGGTTACGTATAATACCTAGTACAATGTAAATGCTATGTAAATAGCTGTTACAGTGTATTGTTTAGAGAATAAAGACCAGAAAAAAAGAGCCTGTACATATTCTTTTTTTTTTTTTTAGACTTTTTTTCCCAAAGATTTATTCATTTATTAGAAAGGCAGAGTTACAGAGAGAAGACCACACACACACACACACACACACACATACACACAAATATCCTCTGGTCTGCTCTTTAAATGGCCCCAACAGCAGGGGACAGACCAGGCTGAAGCCAGGAATCCAAACTCCATCCAGCTGTCCCACATGGGTGCAGGGTCTAAGCACTTGAACCATCTTCTGCTGCCTGCCCAGATACATTAGCAGGGAGTTGGATTGGAAGTGGAGCAGCCAGGACTTGGATTGGTGCCCACATGGAATGCTGATGGCACTGGTGGCAGCTTAACCCCCTGTACCACAACACCAGCCCATAATTTTTTTTCAGAGTAGTTTCAATCCTTGGTTGGCTGACTCCACAGATGTAGAACCGATGGTATGGAAGGCCAACCTTAAATAATAATAACCATTCTGATAAGACTTTAGTGAGCCAAAGCTATTCTTAGTCAAATTTTTTCACTGAAATAACCCATCATAGTCTTGAACTACCATATTCTTAAAATATGGCTTTAAGCAAACCAGGCAAAGAATACAAATTTTTTTTTTTTTATTTTTTTGGAGAGGCAGAGAGTTCATTCCTCAATAACCTGCAACAGCTGGGGCTGGGTCAGTGGCCACATCCAGGAGACAGGAACACAATCCTGGGCTCCCACGTGGCAGAAGCCCAATTATTTGAATCATCACCACTGCCTCCCAGGGTCTGCATTTGCCAGAGCTGGAGTCAGGAGCCAGAGGCAGGAAGCAAATTTAGGTTACTCCAGTGTGCAATGTGGGCATCTCAACTGCTAGGCTGAACACTGTCCCACAAAATGGCTTTTTAGTATTTTATGTTAAAAGTTCTTGTGAATTTTGTGTTGTGCTTCATAAAATAATCCTTATTAAAGTTTTCAGGGAAAAAAAAGCGGACCTTCTAAAAATCTGAGCAGAACCAAAACTCCAGAAGATGCACCACTTTCATTCCAAGGCTCTGCTCTGACCTAACCCAGCTAACACCCACTAACCAGAAGCATGAGCCAAAGTTAGATGCACTCCAACGCGTTTCCAGCTGCAGTAATGAAAATACGGATTTCCCCGGCTCTTCCAGAACAGAATTCAGTCTCCCTGGGTGCAGAACTCACATTTTCATGTTTCATATGTTTGAGTAGCCGCAGCTCCCTGTAGGTCCTTTTGGCATGAATGATGGACTGAAAAGGCCTGGACAGCTTCTTCACAGCAACGCGCAACCCAGTTTTTGTGTCAAAAGCAGCACTGAGGAGGAAGAAAAGAAAAAGAAAACAAAAAACCCCACCATTAAAAGTGCTCTAAGTATCATTCTGAGGATTGACAAGGCTATTTCATTTCCAAATTTTATGGGTCCACAACAAAACACAAAAGAAGAGATAACGACCTGTAATCCCACTATCCAAAGAAACCTTCTGCTATTCTTTCTGGTGTTTCTTTTTAGTCTTTTCTTGTTTTCTTTTTTAAAGATTTATTTATTTATTTGAAAGACAGAGTTGGAGAGAGAGAGAGAGAGAGAGCAAGAGTGAGAGCGAGAGTGAGAGCTCTTCCATCTCCAAATGGCTGCAACAGCCAGGGCTGGACAGGCTAAAGCCAGAAGCCTGGAATTCCATCCAGGCCTCCCACGTGGGTAGCAGGAGCCCAAACACTTGGGCCATCTTCTGCTGCTTTCCCAGGTACATCATCAGGGAACTGGGTCAGAAGTGGAGCAGCCGGAACTCCAGCTGGTACTCATGTCGGACGCTGGTGTAGCAGGTGGTGGCTTAACCTGCCACGCCACAATACTGGTCCCATCCTTTTGGTCTTTTCTGTGCATCTATATCAAGATTCAGCAAAGTTTTTCCATAAAGAACTAGATAGTAATATGAGTGTTTTAGACTTTGGAGAACCCTAAGGTCTCTGTTACAACTGCTCAGCTCTTTGTTTGAAGCTAGAAAGCAGCCAGACAACAAGTTTAAGACACTAATAGAATTTACAAAATCAGGTGGCTGCCTCAACTAAATGAGACAACAGACCCATAAACAGAGCAGCAGGGCCAGCGCTGTGGAGTACTGGGTAAAGCCACTGCCTACAGCACCAGCATTCCATATGGGTGCTGGTTCAAGTCCCAGCTGCTCCACTTCCAATCCAGCTCCTTGCTAATATGCCTGGGAAAGCAGCAGAAGATGATCCAAGACCTTGGGCCCCTGCATTCAGGTGGGAGACCCAGAAGAAGCTCCTGGGTCCTGGCTTCAGATCAGGCCAGCTCTGGTAGTTAAGCCCACTTGGGGAGTGAACCAGTAGATGGAAGACCTCTCTCTTTCTAAAATCTGCCTTTCACACCCACACACCCACACACCCACACAGCTGCGTTCTGTTTCCTCTGCCTAAGCTTCACTGTCACCTCGTCACCGTATACCATCAGGGTAAGGGCCTCAGAAACCAGCGGGCTTTCAGGACAGGGAGAGGGCACCAATATTCCTTGAGCATCTACAAAGGATTTGACACTTGGTAGAGGCTAAGATATGGCAAGAAACAAATCTTCAAATCCCTGCTCTTGGGGTGGGTGAGAGGGGAAGAGCAGAATAATAAAATAATTTCACATAGTGATGGATTCCATGACTAAATATAACAGAGTGACGGGATAAAACATGACAGAAAGGCAGTGGAGTTACACAGCCGGAGTTAAGAAACACCTGAGGTGAGAACAGGATGCTGAAAAAGCAGTAGCTACACAGATACAGGGAAAACAGCTTCGAGTAGAATTAGCAATGGTCACACCAACACTCGGAGTCTTTACCATATACAAGGAACTGTTTTAAGTCCTTTACGTTGATTTTTATAAACTGACTCTGGTAATCCTCTCAACGCCTCTGTGAAGCACCATCACTGCCCCACTCTCGAATGAGTGCTCTGATGTGCAGAGAGGGTCAACAGCTTGCCATGGTCACAAAGCTCAGCAGCCAGACTGGATCCAGAGCTCATGCTACAACAACTAGGCTAGGCTGTCTCCCAGAAAAGCAAGTAGGAGAAGCAGGGCATGCTGGGGTGGGGTCAGGGAGAGAGAGGGGGGGAGAGAAAGACAGAGGGAGAGAGAGAGGGAGACGGTGTGGGAGAGCAGAGGGAGCAAGGGAAGAGTAGAGAGGGATGAGGTCGGAATGCAGGCAGACTGGATCAGGTAGACCATGGCGAGGTGGGGAAAGATGGAAAATTTAAACTTTGTTTTTAAATATTTATTTTTTATTTATTTTAAAGGCAAAGTGACAGAGAGAGAAGGAGAGACAGATCTTTCATCAGCGGTTCACTCTGCAAAGTCACAACAGCCAACCATGGGCCAGGCTGAAGCCAGGAACCAGCAACTCTATCCAGGCCTCCAACAAGGGCGGCAAGGGTCCAAGCATTTGAGCCATCATCCTCAAAGCCATGCTTTCTCAGGCATACTAGCAGAGAGATGAAGCAGAAGCAGAGCAGGCAGGGCCCAAACCAGTGGTCTGATATGGGATGCCAGCCTTGCAGGCTGCGGCTTAAGGTACTGCATCACAACACCTATTCCTATAGCAAAAAATTCGATGTGCATATTAACCATGTTTATGAACTGTTTGGGCTGATTCCATCATGCCTTATCATCCTGTCAGGAGGCATCTAAGACTTCGCTAAACTCTCTCTCCCCACCAATCTTTGGTTACTGTTCTGTTCTTTACTTACTTGAGGAGTTCCCCTTCTTTCACTATCAAACCTTTATGCCACATTCTCACTCTCCCATTCCCACATTTGTGATAAACTCCTGTAAATCTTTAACCTCTTTCCTGAACATGCCCTCCAGCTCTTTGAGAAAACAGGCTGTACCTCTAAGACACAACTTCTCTCACTACCCTGCCATTAGAAGGGGTTCTCTCATAGCCAATGTACCTCACAGCTAGCAAGTAGGGGAGGTGTCCTCCTGCTAACCACTACCATTCCAACACTATTACTTCTCATTTGTTTTCTAAAATGCCTTGCTCACAACCCTGATAAGCTCTCCTCGTTGCTGCTCCTGCTGCTGCTGCTGCTGCTGTTACCCACTGACTTGGATTTTCCATCATTCACTGAAAGTTTATTCCTATTTGAAAGTCTCTCTCCATTCCCAATAGCTGTCATCATTTTTGGCAACTTTAACTCCCAGGCAGAAGACACAGCCAACATCCTCTCTGTTTCTGGGCTCTCTAGGAAACTCCACTTCATCTGCCACCTTCACAGTCACACCCTAGCTCTCTATCCCCACCAACAAAATTATGAATGTCAGAACTCACTTTTTAAAAAACATTAATTTAGTTATTTAAATAGGGGGGAGAGAGAGAGGTAGAGAGAGGGGGAAAGAGGGGGAGAGAGAGGAGAGATCTTCCATCAGCTGATTTACTCCTCAAATGGCCACAACAACTGTGTCTGGGCCAGGCTGAAGCTAGGAATCAGGAGCATCTGGGTGTCCCACATGGCTGCAGGGGCCCAAGCACTGGGCCATCTTCTGCTGCTTCCCCAGGCGCATGAGCAGGGAGCTGGAGCAAGAGCAGAGAAGTTGGGGCTTGAACTGGCACTCCAATATGAGCTGCTGGCAGTGGCTTAACCCACTTACTGCACCACGGCACCAGCCCCAGCACTCCCTTTCCATCACAATCCCCCTATCCCCTTTAGTTTAGTTTTCTTGCACCTTAACTACAACAAATTTGTTGACCGCCCCTCATCATCTGTTTATATCCTTTGGCCCTCTCTTGTCTTCAGGTCCTCTCCTGTTCAATGACCATACTCACTCTCTCTTTCTCTAATGTATTCACCTGATTAAAGTCTAACCTTGGGTGACTTCAACAATTTAATTCTTCAGGAGAATAAAGTATGTACAATCAGATAGAATGCTTTCATTTTTGATTTCTGAACTTAACCCCCCAAAAGCTTTAAACTGTCACTTTTTTATAGGAAGTTCATTTTCCCATTCCAAAATGATCATATGACATTTTCACTCTCAAACCTCCATCTCAGCCTCCTCCCTCAAGAGTCACCCTGACCTTCAATGAGCCAACAGAAACCATTAGAAGAGAGCTCCTTCCGCCTGCCACCAAATCTATAAACCCATCTTCTCTGTCTTTCCTCTTGCTATGACTAAGGACATATGACTCTTCTTATGAAAACCCAAGCCCTCAAGACAGGCTTTGGAGCTACCTCTCATCTTTTCAAGAATTTCGCTTCTTCATTTCCGTTCTCACCAGCATCATCAGTTTCTCCCTCCCTACTGGACCACTCTCTTCAGCTTTAAATATGCTCTAGTTATTTCCCATCCTCAAGAACAAAAAACTTCCCTTGATGGTTCCCTGTCACAAACATCTCAAAAAAAAAAAAAAAAATATATATATATATATACACCACAAGTTCCCAAATTGTGGTTCCCAGACTAGCCATATTAGTTTCACCTGGGGATTCATAAGAAATGCAAATTTTCAAGAACCACCCTTGAGCTACCGAATCAGAAACTCTAAAGTTGGCCCAGTAATCTCTATTTTAACCAGGCCTTCATAAAATTCTAACACACACACACACACACACACACACACACACACACACACACAATTTCAGAACCACTATGCCCCTGCTATTTAAAGTGTGCTAAATGGACCAGAAAGGCAGAATCTCATGCCCTAAAGCAGCATCTACATTTTGACAAGGCTTGAGGGGCACAGATCTACATGACGGACTCATCTTCTCAACCCGGTTTTCTGCTCCAGTCCACTCCCATGAAACTGCTCTTCTCAAGGTCATTAATGATCTCTGTTACCAAACCCAAGGCCACCTTTCTGGTTTAGCAATTGACGTGGTTACTACTTCTGCTTTCCCTAAACACTCCCCATGCTACAGTCCACAGCGACAGTTCTGCTGGTTTTCTAGGACCTCCCTGGCCACTCCCCTGAGCACTGTGTGTTTCCTCTATTTGTGCTGTCTGCATTGACGTTCTTCAGGGCACGGTTCTGAGCCCTTGTCTTTTTTTCTCTCTTACCTTCTCCTTCTAGAGGATTTCATCTATACTTGTGGCTTTATACTAAATGCATCTGTATATTGAAAATGCACACTGGGGCCGGCCCTGTGGCTTAGCGGGTAAAGCCGCCTCCTGTGGGGCTGGCGTCCCAAGTGGGCAACAGTTTGAATCCTGGCTGCTCCTCTTCTGATCCAGCACCCAGCTAATGGCCTGGGAAAGCAGTGGAAGATGGCCCAAGTCCTTGGGTCCCGCACCCATGTGGGAGACACGG